GGTTAGTATGAGGTACCGGGGTTCTGCATGTTTTTCATGATGAAAGGGCTCAGATTTTCAGTGTCTGGAAGTCTCTGTCAAAGCAGGCTTACTGACTCGTGGCAGGCTTCAGGGACTTGTTTCAACCCTACGTGACTGTATTTTAATGTGGATTCACTCAAAGTGAATACATCTTAACTTTGATTTATCCAAAGAGCATTCATACAAATTTCTCAGAAATGAGGGGATCAGCTTAACTGCTAAAACTTATAGTTTTGCTTCTACAAGTAAGTTACGCTTAGCAGGAAAGTTGTAGGGAGAATCCTACTGGAGTAGCAGTTTGTAGATTTTTTTTGTTTGTTTGTTTTTTTCCTTTCTTATTTGCTGTTAGGGTAACATTAATGTTAAAACTGTTGCTAGTATGAAGGAATTATTTCATCTTCCCCAAATGTTTGTGTATCGTTTACTCTTCCCCCAGGTGTCTTGAAACAAGTTAAAAAGACACTTCCTTGGATCTGTATGAGAGACCTTTCCAGTCTGCTTGATTTTTGTTATGTTAATTTATAGCACCTGAAGTGTTGAGGTCTATCCCGATAGGATCTCTTCCGTAGGTTCGTGTCGTTGGAAATGCCTCACAGAATAAACTTGTGGTTTCGCTTTACCCATTGAACTACCTGTTAGCTCTGTGGGATAGAACTGCAAGACAAATCTTTATGTAGCATCCTAGGAACTGTAACAATGCGTTATGTTCTCCTTTAGGTACTGACTTATGCTTTTGATACATACGAAAAAAATATTCAAGTGGAAAAGCTTGGTAAGAGTCAAAAGATGGTGTGTTCTGGGACTTGAGGTGTCACTAACATGTTCAATTACCTGGGCTGAACTTAGGCCTCAGTGAGTTTTTTGTGTAGGTGCCTGATTTCTAACACTATTTCTTGCAGTGTGAGTTTTCAGGATGGTTTGAAATATGTCTGATCCCCCTCTGATTGTGAAGAAGTGATTATTATTTCTTGTTTTGCATGGCTATAAGTAAGAGGAGACGGCGCTATAGTGTCTGTCTAAACTTGAAGCAATTTTGTAAGCATGCTGCATTTTTGTTCTGTGTTGAGAGATGCTTGATAGTTTCATACTGAGCAACAGGACTTGGGTTGTATCTTAAGTCTGGGTTTTAAAGAGTTAATTCATGAGCAGCACAGCCAGTTTACTACTATACAATTGAAATTCCTGGCTTCTGTTCTATGGAGTGCAGCATTTACAGCAGAACAAGCAGAATATTCTAGAAGAAATACAAATCTTTCACGGTAGGAATAGATAAAAACTTAGAATTCTGAAGCTGCTGTTCATATCAGATGGAATTCACCGTCTGTTTTCCCTCTGGATCACACGACAGCTTTTGGGAAGTGAGGAGTACAGCAGTATCACTGGACACTGATTGGTGCATGCAAAAAACTGCAACGTTAAAACGAGCAGCTGTAGCTGAAGAACGACTGCAGGCGTTGCACTGTACGGTATCTGCACCCAGCAGCATTCTCCTGGTGGGATGTTCAAAAACCAGTGCTACAGTAGCTCAGCGTTTGGCATCGTTGGTTTTCGTACTGCTGTGTCTGTTAAACCTGGTATTTTTGCTGATACAGTCTTTGTCCTCCTCAGGGATTTGGGCGTTCATGCATGAGACCTGAATACTGGCCTCTGGAACTTGGCGAATGCATTCAGTTTAATACTTTTTAAATTCTTTTAACAGGTGCTTTAGGATACAGAACAGTGTGAATTTCACTGTGTTAAAAGGATGAGCTGTGGAAGAAAACACCCTGTTTGACAGGTAAGCACTGAGCTAGCTCTCAGTTCAGAAAGTTTCATGCAACTTTAGAGAAGCTCATCTGTTAACTCAGAATGACTTTAGAACACTGAAACTTCAGTGAACTGCTCTAGAAAAGTGTAGAAATTATTGCCCAGTAGCAGAGATTGCTGGGCAGTGATCACCCCAGGGTTTGGCCCTATCTGAGCAGGTTGCCTGTTTGTGAGATGTTTGTGTGTCTGTATGTGTATACCTTAAATGCTCTCTTACAGCTACTCAAAAGGAGGTTGTAGCAAGGTTGAGCTGATCTCCTCTCCCTGTCTAATAAGCAACAGGACAAGAGGAAATGGCCTCAAGTTGCTGCAGGGCAGGTTTAGACTGAATGTTGGGAAGAAGGGTTGTCAAGCATTCAAAAAGGCTGCCTGGGGAAGTGGTGGAGTCACTGTCCTTGGAGATATTTAAAAGACACACAGATGTGGTGCTGAGGGACACGGTTTAGTGGTGGGCCTGGCAGTGCTGGGTTAACGGTTGGAATCTATGATCTTAAAGGTATTTTCCAACCTAAATGATTGTGTCATTCACAGTTGTGCAGCAGTTTGTAGTGCTCATTTCTGCATTTGACTGCTACTAATTGGGAGGAATCCTTCTGCACTTGGAGCTTGTCAGGCTTGCTGGTGTGCACAGCTAAGCTGCTGTGTAGGCACAATTGACCGGTGAACACAAAAGGATGGGAAACTCCAATATTGGCTTCGGTCCCGGATTTACGTTGGTGGTAACTGCAGCGGGGGTGTCTGGTCATTACCAAGGCTGCTGGGATGTTGTTCCTGGTGAGTTGTGGAGATGACCGTAAAACAAGTCCATCAGACTGTCGCACGGCCACGTGATGTGGCACCAAGTCTGCTGGGAATAAAGCTTTAATGTCGGTCAGAGACTCGGTGCTCTCTCCTGGTGTCAGGGGAAGTTGAGGTGTGGGGGTGTGGCTTTATCCTGGGCACCACCAACACTTCAGCTACAGAGGAACAAAAAGTTCTAGTTAGAACCTTTGTTAGCTTGGGACACCAGAAGCTGCTGTTGAGAGGATGAGGGTTGTGCCTGCAGAGGCAAACAGGGGAGAGAAAAGGCTGCCCTGTGCCATTTGCATCCAACTTGTGTGTTGTTAACTCTTCACTTACCCAAAGCAAATCTGACTTTCTAACCCATAGTGTCTGCTACCAGTTGCTGTGTCGGAAGGCTGAGAAACAGCACCCCAGTGGCACCGAACCGAGTCTGAAGGTAAGAGTGCTCAGCAGCATTGCTGCTTCTAAAAAGAAATTCAGGGTCACTTCAAAGAGGGTTTGCGTGGCTGAAAACCCAGCAGCTCTTAACGCGGTGACCACATATAGAAATCCTCTGCAGGATGCCGTGGACACTTGGTGTGTGCTATGGTCTATTTATGAGGAGATAACACCTTATGGAGCGAGGCCTCTTGGAGTGAAAAAGGGTGTTTATCCTACTGCTCCCAGGTTTTTGAGATGATAGAATGGCCTGGGCTGGAAGGGACCTTAGAGATCATTTTAATCCAACCTCCCTGTCATGGGCAGGGACGCCTCTCAACTAGATCAGGCAACACACAGAGACCGA